GAACCAGGAGGTCAAGGTTTGATTCCTGGTGAGGGCACATACCTGGGTTTAGGCTGCAGTTGCTTGCGGGCTTGATCCCAGTGAGGGGACATGCAGGAGGCAGCGGATCAATGCCTCTCTCTCATCATTGATGTTTCTCCCTCTCCCTCTCCCTCTCTCTCTCTCTATATATATATATATTATGTTGAACACATCATGTGTGTGTGTGGGGGGGTCCTGATTACAGGATAGTTAAGATTATGTGCTCTCTTGAGAGTGGTCATGCTTTAGAGCAGTGGTTCTCAACCTTCTGACCCTTTAAATACAGTTCCTCATGTTGTGACCCAACCATAAAATTACTTTCGTTGCTACTTCATAACTGTAATGTTGCTACTGTTATGAATCGTAATGTAAATATCTGATATGCAGGATGGTCTTAGGTGACCCCTGTGAAAGGGTCGTTTGACTGCCAACGGGGTCACGACCCACAGGTTGAGAACCACTGCTTTAGAAGGAAGGATATGCAAAGAGGCATTTCAAAGGTGTGTGAACCTAGATACACAGGAACAATGGCCAGGGCTTGCTTAAGACAAAGATAGGCTTTTTACTAGAGAAGTTATATCCCTGAGCATGACTAGCCACCGTGACCTGCCCAGTTAGCAATTTATGATTAGATCACCCTGTGATGTTACTTTCTAGAGAACCCCATTTTTTACCCACATTCCCAATGTTATATGAATTATGTGGAAATGTACAAAATGATCTTTAGGTTCATAATTCATACACTGACAGCACTGTCACTTTCCCTTTGATGATGCTCAATAAGCCAAAGCAGAAATTGTCTCGGAGGCACCTTAGAGCCCAGCACTAAGTCTAAGGAAGAAAACAAAAACAAAAACCTGCCATTGTTCCTAATCACAGATCCAATCCCTACAGCATGTAAAAATTGTGGATGTAAAAATGAGCTTTATGGAAAGTAACCTCAGAGGGTGATCTGATCATAAATTCCTAACTGGAAAGGTCATGGTGGGTAGACACACCCAGGCATATAACTTTTTAGTAAAGGTTTATCTTTGCCTTAAGAAAGCCCTGTCCACTGCCTCTGTGCATCTAGGTTAACACACCTTTGAAATAAAACCATAACCACCCTCAAGAGAGTATGTAATCTTGTCAACTTCCTGTCATCCAATCCCTGCCTTGCTTTTTCCTACTTCAATGTAATCTTTGTTACAATTCCCTCGTTAATGTTAAATATACAAAAGAAGTTGACAAGCTGTCATTTTGGGAAGCATTTTTTTTAATCTTGCTCCCCAGCATATGTTGTCAGTTTGGCTCAAATTAATGCTTATAAAAATTCTCTACAGGTTTGGACCTTTCTTGACAAAATAAACCAGTGGCATCTTGATTGGTAAGAAAATGAGACACTGAGTCAGATGGTAGATAGAATCTTTGACCTTAGAGAAATCCTCACCCGCCTGGAGCCTAGCTGCTCCTACCTCTTCCTACCCTCCATTCTCTTGTGAAATAATAATCAAAAGTTTCTGACCCGCCCTAACCGGTTTGGCTCAGTGGATAGAGCGTCAGCCTGCGAACTCAAGGGTCCCGGCTTCGATTCCAGTCAGGGGCATGTACCTTGGTTGCGGACACAGCCCTGGTGGGGGGTGTGCAGAAGGCAGCTGATTGATCTCTCTCATCGATGTTTCTAACTCTGTCTCTCTCCATTCTTCTCTGTAAAAAATCAATAAAATATATATTTAAAAAAATAAAAATAAAAAAAAAAAACCACCAGAGGGCAGCTCCTGCATTGAGTGTCTGCCCCCTGGTGGTCAGTATGTGTCATAGTGACCAGTCATTCCCAGTTCTTCTGCTGTTAGAGTTAGTTTGCATATTACCTTTTTACTGTATAGGATAGAGGTCTGGTGCATGGGTGGGGGCCGGCTGGTTTGCCCTGAAGGGTGTCCCGGATCAGGGTGGGGGTCCCGCTTGGGTGCCTGGCCACCCTGGATGAGGGGATGATGGCTGTTTGCAGCTGGTCACACCCCCTTCAGGGTGGGGGTCCCCACTGGGGTGCCTGGCCAGTCTGGGTGAGGGGCTGAGGCCATTTTCAGGCTGGCGGGCAACTGAAGCTCCCAACCTCTCCTTTTTTTTTTTTAATTCTGGGATTTATTTACCTTCTATGGCTGTCACTGGAGCTGAGAGCCGGCTTTAGCTCTGAGGCTCAGCTCCAACTCTGAGACCTCGGCTGCTTAAAGCAGGCATCTGGGTTTGTTTGACTTCTATAATTGAAACACTGTTGCAACTCCAGCTCTGAGGCCTGGCTGGCTGAAAGCAGGTATCTGGGGTTTGTTTAGCTTCTATAATTGCAACATTGTTTCTTAGAGTGCAGCTCAGAGGCCGGCAGCAGCAGGCGGGGAACCTTGGCTTCCTCCATCACTGGAGCAAGCAAGCCTCCTATTCGCTTCAGCTGCCTGGCTACTGGCTGCCATCTTGGTTGGCAGTTTATTTGCGTATTGCCCTAATTAGCCAATGGAAAACGTGTTGGAAGTACGGTTAATTACCATGTTTGTTTATTATAAGATAGGATTAATTTTTTTTTTTTTTAAGTTTCTGACCCTGGTCCAGCCAGTGTGTCTCAGTTTGTTGAGGATGGTCCCTTGCACACAGAGGTCACTGATTTGATTCCCGGTCATGGTACATGGCTAGGTTTCAAGCTTGATCCCCCAAAGGGGCGTGCAGGAGAGAGATGACTAATCTTTCTCTTTCATGGATGTTTCTCTCTCCCTCTCCCTTACTCTCTCTAAAAATCATTAAAAACATATTTTAAAAATAAATAAATAATAATTATGTGTTGTTGTTGTTTTTTTATTTCTGACCTGGTCAGGTAGCTCAATTACTAGAGCATCATTCCAATATGCCAAGAATGTAGGTTCAGTCCCAGACAGGGCACATACAAGAATCAACCAATGAATGAATAAATAAGTGGAACAACAAATTGATATCTCCCACTCGCTCCCTCGCTTGCTCTCGCTCTACCTTCCTCTCAGTCAATAAAAACTTTTTTAAGAGTTTCTTTCTAGAGACCCAAGGAACAGTTACAAGGCCTTGAAAGACCAAGGATGAAAGCACCAGGCTACACTACACTTGGCATTTATGAAAAGAAGAGGAAAAGGGAAGGCAGAGGTATAGGAGGGGCTGGTAGCGGTGTAGAAGGGACAATGTACTTACTATTGCCAGTCAGGTATTCTATCGGGCTTGGTTGAAGTAAACAGAAGCCACTTTATTTTCAGCAAAAAATGCCTTAATATGGAGATATAGGTCCTTTAAAAAATCCTTTGAGGGATTGGAGGAGCAGCATCTCTGCTGTATCCCAGAAATGACTCCAAGAATGAGACTACTACACCCTCCCACCAGGAAAGCTTCAGAAAGGGGAGGGATGAAGACTCATTGCTGAAACTGGTGAGTTTAAGAACACAGTGTCCTATCCCTGGCCAGTGTGGCTCAATTGGTTGGAGTATAGTCCCCTATCCCGAAAGACTGTAAGTTTGATTCCCGATCAGGGCACTGTGCATATGGGAGGCAACTAATCTGCTTCTCTCCCTCCCTCCTTTCTCTCTCTCTCTCCCCTGCCCCCCTTTCTAAAATCAACACACATATCCCCAGGTGAGGATTCAAAAACAGAAACAACTCATATTGCCCTAGTTATGATCCAGGAATTGGCTGTTGCCTGGTGAAGGGATGCTGGGCACTGCTGCAGAAAACCCAACATCCCATGACCGTGCTGGCCAGCCACAGCCAAAGCAGCCAGGAGATGGCCCTGCCTCACTTCTACTTTCCAAGTCTCTTGGGTGTGCAAATTACTGATACATCAAAATTTACTAGCCTCACTCCTAGCTGCAATAAAATCTGGAAAAACAGTTTTTAGATTTCCAGCCTTTGCAGTTTAACAAATTATATGAAAAGGAGATAGTATGTAAGTCAGCCGTATCCATCACAAGTGTTTATGAATCTACGTTTTTTTAAAATTTCCTTGGTAATAAGTAGAGAGAAAGGATTCTGAGCCAGGAGCAGCACAAGAATGAAACAAACGTCTGTTTCAGACTTTTTCATTTTATAAACCAATTGTGACATAAGGGGAGCAGAGAACTTTTTATATTGTCACATTAAGGACATTACCAGTTACTATCTACTATAACCATCATTTCATAAAAGAAGTAACAT